TGGCTCAGTGGGTTAGACTTCTGCCTTTGGCTCAGGTTATAATCCCAGGGTTCTGGGATCGAGCCCCGCATCAGGCTCTCTGCTCAGCAGGGGGCCTGCTTCCTCCTCTCTCTCCCTGCCTGACTCTCTGCCTACCCATGATCTCTGTGTGACAAATAAATAAAATCTTAAAAAAAAAAAAAAGACCAACCTGGCACTTTGGGGCACGCTGGGGAGCCTGGCCTCTGGCCTGTCAGGCTTGGGGGCCCACCTGGCATGCTGTGGGGATCTTGGATTCTCTCGGGCGGCGGCTGGCAGGGCCCAGCTTATGTCCCTTTCCCAGGGAAGAGGACAGGAGTTGAGGTCCGCCCTTGCTCTCTCAGCAGGGTGGGCCTTGGGCTTCTGCATTTGTAGGATGGAGAGTGTGGTCTGTACGGGCTTCGGGGGGACGTGAGCCATGAGGCTAAGAGGTGGGCTTCCAGAGCTCCCAGTGTGGGGAGGGAAGTCATTCTCTGTCCGTGGCCTCCACCCTGTGCCTGTTAGCTGGGGCCTGCGGAGGGGTGCCCGAAGTGGGTGCTGGGTTACAGGACCATGGTGGCCCTACACAGCCTGTGAACAGCCGTCCTGAAACTGTAGCTGATGTGCCTTCACTGCCTGGCTTCTACGCCTCATGCAGCAGCTTCTTATTCTGTTGCGCTTATTAAAATTTCAGCGGCAACCACGGTAGGGAGCTCTGGGTTTCCGACACGTGGGCATACTTCCTTTTCTGAGAGGTGGCCTGGAGGGAGTCAGTTTGCAGGGAGAGGCTGGAAGCTCTCTCTAGTGGGGCGAAGGGGGCATCCTTTCCCCACTTCGGCATCCCTTCCCCACTTCGGCATCCCTCACAGCGGGGAGGCAACTGTCTTGGCCCAGTGCTGGCCACTTCCACACTCTTCATTTAGTCTCTGGATACCCTGTGAGGTGTCTTGTCACCATTTACGGTTGAGGAAACTGAGGCCCGAGCATCCCGCGTCTTGCCCAAGAGCTTCGAGCCCCGTGGTGCCAGAGCTGCCTGATGGTGTCTTTGTGCCCCTGTGCCGCCTTTCCCTCTTCTGCCTTCTTGTCCTCCTGTTGGCGCAGGGAGGCATGGGAGGAGCTTTGCAGAAGATGTTCAGTGTGAGAACTTGAATCACGAGGGCTTGTCTGCTCTGGTGCCTGTGGATTTCTGGGTCGTGGCACTGGCTTACTGACTCCGTCTTGCTGGGATGAGGGGAGAGCACCATGTGTTTTGAAAGGGGTGGCACAGGTGGCTTCTGTGTTCCTGATGACCCCATCTGTCTTTGCAGAAGGAACCCAGCGAAGTGCCGACACCTAAGAGACCTCGGGGCCGACCAAAGGGGAGCAAAAACAAGGGTGCCGCCAAGACCCGGGTAAGGATGGAGGAGGACGACCCCCTTCTGCCCATGGCCACAGCTGGGGGAGGTCTAAGAAGGCACTGGCTTGTCCTTATTAACTGTCCCCTGCCCTCTCTTTCCTGGCATGGGTGGCAGGGGGTCTTGGCTGATTGGGGAAGGCAGGGTGATGACCGAAGCCTCACTTCGGGGGAAATCAAGTCAGAATTCCCATAGCTTTTGTCGTCTGGAAACAGGCGAATCGGGAAGAGGGAAGGGGTGGTTCCACCAGTCCCTGCGTGGAGAATGTTCCATTCGGGGGTCCCCCTGAATCCCAAGGGAGTGGGGATAAGCAGGGAAGGGCAGATTCACAGTGGCAGCAGTCTCTCAGAGAAGTTGTTTTGTTTTTTATTTTTTTTCTGAGACACGACTCATATCCTCTGAGTCATGGGTGGAGGAGGGAGTGGGGGGCGTGTGTGTATGTTGGGGGGGTGCAGTGTGGCTGGCCAGTCATCACCAGCTGGACTCGGGTGGGCCTGCTGGGGTGAGAGTCCCAGGCTGCCCTAAGCAGAGGTAGGGAGTTCTGCCCCTCTCCACCAGGGCACTGGTGGTTGCGTGAAGACTGAGGGACGTTTTTGACTTAGTGGATCTTTTCTCTGACCATCTAGAAAACTACCACAACCCCAGGGAGGAAACCAAGGGGCAGACCCAAAAAACTGGTAGGTGAAGGGATGGCGGTGGTGTGGTTTGCTGGGGAGGATGTTTAAGGATGGGGGATACTGAGTCCTGTGCGCTCATCGTGGAAGGACCGCTCTGCCTGGCCTGAGCCGGGAGTAGTGGGACATTGTCCCCTTCCCCAGGCCTAGAGGGAAAGGGATTTGCGTGTGTCCCAGGGTCCTGACACCCAGCCCAGGGCTTTTAAAGGGCTGTATCCCTGAGAAGCAAGGGGTCCCAGGTACGAACCTGCCCTAGCCAGGGGGTGGGGCTCCATCTCTTTCCCCTGCTCCTAGAACAGACTCAGCTTCTAGGGGGAACTTGGAGGCCATCTAGTCCCCTTCTCCCACCCCAGCCCCATAATAGAAGTGAGGAAAGAAGGCCACGGGAGCAGAGCGCAGGGTCTGTCCTCACCACCATCTTAGGCGGTCTTGGGTAGGAAGGAGGAGGCAGCCAAGGAGCTCAGCCCTAAGCCGCGCTGGCAGTGCTGTGTGGGAGCGGAGGGGTGATCCCACATGGAGGCCCCTCCTCACTGGGACCCACCATCCATTTCTGAGCCCCCAAATAGCTGCTAACGGAAGAAGGTAGGTTGAGTCAGGAGGCTGCCTCTGGGGCCTCCACTGAAGTCAGTGGCCACCCCAGCTTTGTTCTTCCTGGCCCTTTTCTGTCTCCCCAACCTGCTCCCTGAACTCCCTGAGGCCTTCATTCCTCGAGCTGAGCCACCACCAGGGTGAGGAGGGGGGTCAGGGGGTGCTGGCTGGGCCCCAGGAGTGAGTAACAGGAAACAAGTTGTTTGGGAGTTTGAGCCTGGCACGGGGGGCCGCAGGCCCGTGTGGTGTCCCAACATTCCCGCCCAGTGAGTGAGCCCCGGCGGCACACACACTTCCCCTTCCTCCCCGCCCTGGCCTGGGGTCAGTCCGAGGCCTGACTCCATAGCCCCTCAGCTGCCCCTGCGGCCCAAGGCCACCTGGTTCCCCAGCGAGGCACCCAGCAGCCACCTCTTCCCGTTTCCTCTTCCTGGCCACCTCTCCCTTCCCCTCCTACAGAAAGCCAGTTACCTCCTCACTTCCCTGAGCTGGGCGTTGGGGTGGGGGGGGGACAGGCCCTGGGGCCAAGGGGGCCTGGCTCCTTGCGGGAGCAGCCTGTGTGTGGGGTTTTTTCCCTCCCTTTAAATTCTTCCTTTTTTATGAATGAAACTGGGCCGTGGAGGTTGCTGAGTCACTCACACACTCAGCCCTGACTCATCCCCCTTCTGGAGAGCCAGGGAACCCAGGGAGGGGTGGGGGCCCTTCTGGCCTGTGCCCCCACCCCCCAGCACCACCAGTGGGGTGCAGGGGGCAGGCCTGGCACTCCTGCTGACCGGCCTGCCTGCCTCCTGCCTCACAGGAGAAGGAGGAAGAAGAGGGCATCTCGCAGGAGTCCTCTGAGGAGGAGCAGTGACCGCGCCGTGCCGCCTTCTCCTTGGCCGAGGAGCGATTTTCCTTCTGGGACTGGACAGCTCCGCTCCGCTCCCACCGCCCCCTCCCCCAGGCCCCCCTTTCTCCCACACCACCACCACAACCCACCTGTGCCCTCGCTGCCACACTACACAGCACACCAGCCGCTGCGGGGCCCCAAGGCCCGAGTGGGGAGCAGTTTCCTTTGGTCTCGGTTTCCAGCGACCCCTCACCCACACGCACACTCACAGCTCCAGACACAGCGACCCCCAGTCTTGCGGCACCCTGCCCCCTGCTGTGTCTCTACACCCTGCGGTGGGGACATTGCTGACTGGGCTCTTGGTTTGGGGGGGGGATCCCTTCTGCTTCCCCATTCTTCCCTCTGGCTTCCCACTGAGGGGCCTGGGAGGGCTTCCCTGGCCTTAAAAGGGGCCCCAAGCCCCATCTCCTGATCTGCTCCCCTCCACAGCACAGGCAGCGGCAGGTATGGCCAGTGGGGAGGGGCGCTGGGCCCCGAGATGCCCCCCACCCCACCCAGCCTGTGTCTCACTAGGTGCAGCTCATACCCACTTTTCTTTCTTCCTCCCTTGCCTGGTCCTTGCTCTAGGTGAGACAGCCCCCTTTGGGCACAGGAAGGAAGGCAGGAGGGGTCTGAGCCCCCTACCCTTTCTAAATGGGCTCCAGCCCACCCCACCCCCTCACCCTGGAATCTGTTGCAGTGAGGGAAATGCAGTCCCCCCTTTTTCCAGGTGAGGTCCCAGAGGCCTAGGCTCCCTGCCACGGCCTCCCCAGGTGGGCTGGAGCCACTACCTAACCCCTCCGCTTCCACCTTAGGCCTCACTTTCCCCCTTCCTCACATGGGGCACTAATAACAAGGAGCTAGCCTTGCCCACTCCCACCCTTCTGCTCCTCCCCACCCCCCAAGGTTCTGGTTCCATCTTTTCCTCTGTTCACAAACTACCTCTGGACAGTTGTGTTGTTTTCGTTCAATGTTTCCATTCTTAGACATCCGTCATTGCTGCTGCGACCAGCGCCAAATGTTCATCCTCATTGCCTCCTGTTCTGCCCGCGGTCCCCTCCTCCAAGGCACTCTTAGGGGCAGGGGCCCGGGGCAGCACAGGCTGGGTTACCGACCACCCCAGTCCCAGGGAAGGTGGGGCCCTGCCCCTAGGATGCTGCAGCAGAGTTGGGGGGGGCCTGTATTGACCGTCGGGTGTAGAGGCTACCTTCTCCCCCCTGTTCTGATGGGGAGGAGGTGGCCATTATTTGTCCCAGCCTGGGGCCCCCCCATCTGGTTTCCTATTTGCAGTTACTTGAATAAAAAAATATCCTTTTCTGGACCGGAATCCTTCTGTGGTGGGTACCTGGGGTAGGTAAGAGTGGAAGCCAAGGACAGAGTTGGTGGGGGTGGATCTCCGGGGAGGGGGCGAGGAAAGCCTTAGCTCTGGGGAAGGTAACAAGCCTCTCTTAAAAAAAAAAAAAAAAAAAAAGGCACCACACCCCTAGCCACAAAACAGTTTATTTACAAAATATATATACTGAATACTATACATTAGGCCCTGTCACCATGGAAACAAATCCAAAGCCAGGTTGGGGAGGGCTCAAGAGAAAGGTGGGGCCTAGGAAAAAAGTCTCCCAACCACCCTTCCAACCGGGCAGGAAAAACTTGGATTAGCCTGGTGGGGGGAAATGGGTGGAAGGCTCAGCCCACCAAGGATTGAAGGCCTGGGCAGGGGGAGCGAGGTGCAGCCTGGATGGATGAGAGTAGAGGAGACCCAGTTCCCAGTAGGGGGAGCTGGGTGAGTGCAAGTGGGGAAGGACACCGCAGGCCCCCAGAGCACTCCCAAGTGCCATGGTTCTGGAGAGCAGGGGGGTGGGGGTGAGGTCAGGTCTTGACGTCCAGCAGGGGCATCCGCTTGTGCTGGTAGCCACTCTGCCAGCCGTGTACCACCTGTGGGGGCAGAGACCGGGCCACAGGGCTGGGGTCCAGGGCAGAAGCTGTGGCACCCATGGCAGGAGGACAGCCCACTAGCCCTGGCCCACATAGGGAGGTCTGAGGACAAAACCTGGCTCTGGGGAAGAAGACAGCAGGTTGCCCCCCTGACTGTTCTGCACCCACCTCTCCCCAGCACTCACCTTGGGGTCCCCCACATCCGAGAGCAGCTCCTGCTCAGCCTCATGCAGCTCCTCTGCAGGGTCGTAGCTGTACATGGGGAGCAGGTGATGGCGAAGCCGGTCCACTCTAGGGAGCAGGGGAGGGCACTCAGCCCAGGGGAGTCCCACTCCCAACACCTAAGGCCCTGAGGGCCTTTGGGGGCACACTGTGGTTCTGAGAATACATGCCCAGTTCTAGAAGGGGCCCTTCTTCAGTAGGTTCCAAGCCCAGTTTGGGCAGGAAACCCTCACAGCGGGGTGTAGGGAATTTTGGGCTGGTATAAGGAAAGCCCAAGGGCATCTTAACCTCGACTGTAGAGAACCAAGCCTATGGGAAGAAACTTGTGAGCCAAATGCAGGGGAAGTAACACTGGGGACAGGGACACTCACCGCTTTTTCTTCTGGACATACATTACCTGTAACAGAGACACAGCGCTGTGCAGGCTGCTGAGCCCAGGACGGCCCACGGGAGACCCACCTCTACCCCTTCACCCATCACATCAGGACAGCAGAGATGAGCGGTGCAGGTTCACCAGCCCCACCGTCCCCACTCCCAGCCGAAGTGTGGGTGTGTATGTGTGTCCATGGGGACTCCTTACCACAACCACCACCACCCCGACCAGGGTGATGAGGAAGAAAGGCCCCAACACGTAGCCCACCATGGAGTCGCTGTTGGCCTGGGGGGCATTGGGCACTGTAGTGTTACTCATGACATCGGCAGCCGGAGGGCTGGGTCGTCAGCATGGGCAGTGGGGCCTTGGGAGGGCGCCTCCACTGGGCTCCCTGCGGAGGAGAAAGGGAGGTGATTCGTTTGACCCAGGGCGCCATCCAAGCTCTGGATCCCTCTCCAAGAGCGGGTGATGTATCAAAACTTAGGTCAGGCCCTGGGACGAGATATCCTCCAGGTCCGTGTGCTGGGTTTAACCCTCCAGTGACCAGGGAAATCCTGGGTGTGGAGGGCACCAAGGGGAGGCCCAGAGTGCTGCCCGGCTCCTGTCCCCAAGCCAGGGTGGGGCCCAGCTCAGGTGCTGGCAAAACACTAGCACATCTCCTGGGAAAAGCTTAGATCTACGTTTGGAGCTCCTATTCTGACCTCTGGGGACACTGGGCAGCCAGCACCTGTCCAGTGGAGCAAAAGGGGGAGATCTGACAGATATATGAGGGTCCTGCGCTGTGGGGCCTCCGGGTGAGGCAGGAGCATCTCAAGGAGCCTGCCCCAGTCCTGGTCCAATACCCCCACTTAGGCTACAGGCCTTCTCTGTGCCCTCCTTGTCCCTGGTGTGACTGCGGACATACAGCCAGGACAGCCTCTCCTCCACTGTTATCGTGCCAGGGCGGAAACGAGTGGGCAGGTATCTGCGAGGTGATGTCACCTCCCTCTGGTCCCCACCCGGGGCTCCGCCCAGGTCCCTCCCCTCTTTAGCGCGGGCTGATAGGCAAAGGTGAGAGGGTCAGCTCCCATCGACAGATGCAAGGAGACTGCCGATGGGCTCCTGTACGCAGACCCCAAGGTCCCCGACCCCGCTTCGCTTGGGTCTCCACTGGGGGGGCAAGGTATGAACTACCTGTCCCGGTGTCCGTGGGGGCACCGAGCTTGCACGGTCGCATGCACGCCGTCCCACGGTCGAAGGGACCTGCCGAGGTGGGGCGGATGTCTGGCCGCTCCCAGGATGCGGACCAGCATGGGCGAGTGGGAGGTATAGTTCCCACGACGCTGGGCGGCTCAGGCCGGGTAAGGGAGGTTTGGGGGCTGCAGGGAGGGCCCGGACATCCCGGAATCCCGGCACCCTGAGACGTGGACCCGCGCCGGCGCTCTGCAGCCCGTCCAACCCGAGCATGCCTTACCTCCCGCCGCTGCAGCCCGGACAGGAACGCCCTCGGTTGGCTCCCAGGCCCCGGAAGAGCCGGCAGGCGCGTGATCAAAGGACCCGGGGAAATGGGCGGGGCCTCAGCCCCGGGGCGCAGCCAATCCAGTGGCGGAAGGCTGCCGGCCCGGAGACTTCTGGAGCGGCCAATCCGGGGCTGGGGGGTGCGCGGGGCGAAGGCGGGGAGGGCCGAGGTTGCAGGGCCCACCCCGCGGCAGCAGGGGGGCAGGCGAGCGCCGCGCAGCGGGGGGAGGAGAGCGCGCGGGGAGGGGCGGGGCAGCTTCCCGGCGTCCCCCGGGGCGGACCCCGGCCGGGCGCCAGCGCTGGGGAGCTCTGGTTGCAGACTGCGGCCCGGCGTTGCTTCCTCGTCCTCCCGGGTGGAACCCAGGTGTAGGGCCAAGCCACGCCCTGAAGCTTAGTCCTGGCGAGCGGCGACTAGCCGCTCCCTCCGCCGGTGGGGCTCTGCTCGGGTCCCCCACGGACTCCATTAGTGTTTGCGGAGCCTTCCAAGCCTCCTAGTGCCCCCAGGGGCCCACGGGACTGTGCTCAGAGGGTAGAAAGCGTAGGCAAGCCTGGATTAGCTCCTGCCGGACCCACTCACCCTCCACCCTTCTCCGCGGCTCAGTCTTAACGTCTATGAAACAAGCTCTGGTGACGATTAAGCGATCACGTGCATGAGGAGTCCAGAACACACTAGGCCCTGTTAACCTCTGTCCGGCTTGCAGGGGCACTGTTGGAGTAGCAGGGTGCAATACCCCGGGGCCACAAGCAACTTTAGTAGGTAAATTTGGAAGCTTTAGTGGTCTAGCATTACAATGGCACACGCCAGAGGTGGACTGATGGATTGTACCAACAGGGGATGTCTTATTTCTTCTTTTTCTTTTTCAAGATTTTATTTATTTATTTGACAGAGATCACAAGTAGGCAGAGAGGCAGGCAGAGAGAGATGGAGAAGCAGGCTCCCCACTGAGCAGAGAGCCGGACGCGTCCCAGGACCCTGGGATCCTGACCGGAGCTGAAGGCAGAGGCTTTAACCCACTGAGCCACCCAGGCGCCCCGGATGTCTTATTTCTTAGAACTGCATGTGAATCTACAATTACTTCAAGTACGTGTGTGCAGCTTTGTACCCAGACCTTCCCACCTTTCCCCTCAAGTCACACACGGTTAGGAAAGCTCCAGATTGGCAGGTGATGGAAGCCACCCAGAAACATAAAAGATGTGGGACCTGAACCAGGCTGAGGCGCTCCAGGGCCCTTGGGTGCTACTGGAGATAGATCTAACCTAGATCACCTTATTCTTGCCAGAAATAACCAATGGCTCGGACATGGTCGAGCCACTTGGCCTGCTCTGGTCTGTTTCCTCGGGTCCTCCAAAAGAGGTTGGATGCAGAGATGACCCAACCTAGAACCAGAGGGCTGTTTGGAAATCTGGCCTCTTGCCTTCAGACACCATCATCTGACTGGTAGGAAATCATAGATAAGGGGAAAGGAATGACAGAAATGCCTGCATCTGGAGGCTACGGGTGGATTCCCTGCTGTTCTCAGACTTTTGAGCCTGAAGATTAAGGAGACCACTCTTCCCAGGCTTCCGTCAGAACTGAGGCAGAGGGAGGGGGCCACCTTCCCTGGCGGAGCCTACCCTGCAAGGAGGTTAGAATCAAATGATAGGTCCTCTGTCCTCTTCTTTACAACCTCTGACTACGTAACTTGAGGGCCTTCTAGGAGGGGGCTTAGCAGTCAGTTGGCTAAGGCAGTGTGTAGAAAGGACTGGGGTGTCACTTTCAGAAACTCAGCTTGTTTTTACTTCTCTGACTCCTAGTTCAATTTCAGTATATCTGCTGCTGAAATGAGCACACCTTACTCCCCGGAGAGAACACCCTTCTGAGCTAGGCAGAGCAGGTGGGGTCACCCCAATTTACAAATGAGTAAGCTGAGGCCCTGAGCAGTGTGATGACTTCCCAAGGCCCTTGGTGTGATCGGCAAGGGTGAAGCAGAGTGGAATGATGGGTGGGACCCTCTTCCTGGACAGCTCTGTGCCAGCAGCTGCTCCGTGTCTATATTTGAAGTCTGGTTTGTTCCTGTGATAAGGTTTCAGATCCCATGAGGGTACCCTCAAGCCTACCCAGGGAAAACTCCAGCCCTCCCTGCTCTCTTCATGCTGCTGCTACTACCTCGGGAAGGGGAGATAGAGGGCAGAGGTGAGGCTGCACTCCGCCACCCTGATCGAGTTTTAATGTCCCCTTAGCCGTGTTGCTGTGGTTTAGTGCCTGGGCTTATGTATCCACTTTCACTAATGCCTTGCTCGTCTTTGTGTCCTCCTGCTCTGACTCAGCTAACAAATCATAAAAGCAACACTTAGGAAGATCAAATTGTTGACTGAGTAATGTATGAGTAATGAGTAATGTAAACTCATTACACAACAGAGCTCAAGATTTATAGGAATGCAGCTATCTAGCCCTCAGTAAGATCACATTCATAATGTATGGCACCCATCAAAAAAAATGGATCAATAAATACTTAGACATGCAAAGAGGCAGGAAAATACAGTCTATAATCAAATGAAACTGACCTAGAACTGAAAGAAGTTGGGCCTAAGGAGGACATTAAAACAGTTAACTGTATTTCTTATGCTCAAAAAGTTGAGAGAAGGAAGATATAAAAAAGCCTCAAATTGGGATACCTGGGTAGCTCAGTCGGTTACGTGTCTGCCTTCGACTCAGGTCATGATCTTTGAGTCCTGGGATCAAGTCCTGTGTTGGGCTCCTTGCTAAACAGGGGAGCCTGCTTCTCAGTCTGTCTGCCACTCCCCCATTTGTGTTCTCTCTCTGAAAAATAGACGGATAAAATCTTTAAAAAAAAAAAAAAAGAAGCCTCAAATTGAAATTTCTGATGTGAAATCTGCAATGTCCAAGGATGAAAAATAAACGGGATGAGATTGATGGCAGATTAGATATTGCAGAAGAAAAGATATGTGAACATGAAGGCATTAGAATAGAAATTATCCAAAATGAAAGGGACAAAAAAGAATCTAAAACAATTACAAGAACATCAGTGAATTATGGGACAATTTCAAATGGCCTAATATATGAGTAATTAGAGACCCAGAAGAAGAGAAAAAAAGGGGACAAAAACGTTTGAAGAAATAATGACTGAAAGGTTTCCAAACTTAATGAAGACCATACACCCGCAGATCCAGGAAACATAATAAACCCCAAGCAAAAGAAACATGAAGAAAAGTTATATGAAGTCACATTATAATCAAATTGCTTAAAATGAGTAAAAAGAGAAAATCTTAAAAGATGGAATGTACAGAGAAACAAAGTTAAGAGTGACATCAGATTTTCACCCAAAACAATCTGTGTAAGAAGATAGTGAAACAATATCTTTAAAGTATTGAAAGAAAACCTCCCAATGTAGAACATTAGGCAAAAATATCTTTCAAAAACATACAATAGCCAAATTATAGAAGCAGCCCAAGATGAATGAATAAAGAAGATGTGGTATAGGGGCACCTGGGTGGCTCAGTGGGTTAAGGCCTCTGCCTTCGGCTTGGGTCATGATCCCGGGGTCCTGGGATTGAGCCCCATGTCAGGCCCTCTGCTCATCAGGGAGCCTGCTTCCCTTTCTCTCTCTCTCTCTCTGCCTGCCTCTCTACCTACTTGTCATCTCTATCAAATAAATAAATAAAATCTTTAAAAAAAAGAAGATGATGTGGTATAACATATGATGGAGTATTTTTCAGCCATAAAAAAAAAAGATGAAATCTTGCCATTTGCAACAACATGGTTGGAGCTAGAGAGTGAAATTCTAAGCAAAGTAACAAAGAGAAAGACAAATATTTCACTCATGTGGAATTTGAGAAACAAACAAAAAGGGGGCAAAGGAAAAGAGAAAGACAGATAGACACAAACCAAGAAAC